GAGGGGGTGTGGGTTCAACATTCACCCCATGCAATTGATTTTTTTTCTTATTTTCTACTAACCCTAATTTTCTTTCTTTTTCTTAATTAATTCCTTTTTTAATTAACCATTAATAAACCTAATTTTTTCAACACTTTAACAAATTAGGATCAGGGTTTTTAATTAGTAATTCAATTTTTTGATATATTTTTATTTAATAATTAATTAATTAATTAGCTCTTCTTAATATTAAAGTCAATTAGAATTTATGTTTAATTACTATTATCACTCAAATTATTTTTTTTACAAAAAACACAACATTTTAACATTTTTTAACACTTTTTTCTCATCTCTTGCTATTTAAATTCATAGAACAAATGTATAGGTCGCATTATCAATGTAATAGCTTAGATTTATTATTCTCGCATTTTTCCTATTATGTATCTGCTCTGAGGATGTAATAGCGTATATTTACTTTCCCGCATTTTCTATACTTATGTATCTCTCCCAAAGCCATGTAATAGCATAGGACTGTATATTCCGCACTTTATTTTTCTGTACATATTTAACTATTAGTAACTAGGGTTTAATGGTAAGACTAAAATCAATCTAGAAAACCCTAATTCCCAAGATTAAATAACTAAATTAACATACTCTTCACACTTGCACCTCTAGGGTAACCTCCCTTGTTGCCTTACAAATATTGGTCACGTCCCTCGAAAGTGGGGATACTTTAGCAAAAGACCCTCGATTCAACAATATCATCATGGTCCCTTTCGAATAAAGATTATAGTCCCTCGATGACCCTCCGAGTTGCCTACAAAATGATCTGATCCCTTCGATGACCCTACAAGCAAAATGATGATAGTCCCTTCAATACAATTTCTAATGTATCCTTACATGTTGTCTTCGATGACCATACGATGACCCTACGCCAGTCCCTTCACATCCAATAGATAGGATTACCTACCAACTAGTGGTATGGATAGTACTATCTCTAAATGAGAAGGAAAATAACAAGAAAGACCTTATTAGTGGGTAAGACTCCTAGTTGCTTGCTCACAACTTTTTTCACTAAACAATACATTTTTACACATCAAACAAATATTTTTAAAAACACTTTGTATACATTCTTGAGGACTGATACAAGAATTATTACAAAGTTAGCCTTACAATGGCATTTCAAAATATTTTCAAACAAATCACACACACACAAACAAAGCAATTTTCAAAAAGTGAGCTAAGCAATTAAGAGCCCGTAGATAACTACGGATGGAAAGGGTGCTAACACCTTCCCTTTTCATAACCTACCCCCCGAACTCAAAATCTATCAAAGGTCTTTCCTGTTCTTTTCACCTTTCCTAATTGTTGGATAAAATAAAAGTCAGTGGCGGCTCTAACTATCCGCACATTTAGATAAAGCCAAAAAAGTCTGTTCTCCCACTGTATTACAGTCATCATCAAAAAGGGGGAGATTGTAAGAACAAGAAGTGTTTCTACATCTGGCCTTAAGATTTTGATGATAACTTTACATGGTATCACAAAGAACAATTGTATACTCTAATGGTTTCATTCTAGTGTGTATCTGTTGCTGTAATGCTCTAACTCTAATACCAAGGCGTGTGACGTCATCAGGTTCTGAACATAAACACTACTAGAAGAAAACATGTGGTTACGTGTTACAGTTGAAGTCAAGATTCTGGAATTCATCTTATGCAATGGTTATTAGGAACATTAGTACAAGAGGTTATGATCGTGACTTTGTGGTTAAACTTTAGAGGCCTTCTAAAGCTTTGCTTCTGTGTGTTCCAAGTTCTGAAGATTATGAAGACGAGATAAATCTTTAGAGAAATCTTATGTGTACAGTTTTGTAAATAAGCAAGGAGTTGTTGCTCGTATCTTGCTAAAAACACTTAGGTGTTTTTCTTTGTGCTGAAACGTTTGTGTAATCTACTTAAAAGAAGAAAATTATAATACACTGAAAGTATTCAATCGTTGTTGATTGATTCCTTGAGTGACCAAGTGAAGGTCTGATCTCAAGAAGACTCTTACTGCGGTTTGAGAGGATTTGCAATAAGGATCGACTGACTTATTACGGGTGCTAATAAGGTTGATCTAACTTATTATGGGTTATCTGTAATCATTTTGGTTATAGTGGATTAAGTCCTTATTGAAGGCAAATAACCTTAAGGGGTAGACTGGAGTAGCTTAGTTAACAGTGAACCAGGATAAAAATAATTGTGTTCATTTATTTTTATGTTCTAAGTTAACTTGGTCTTTCATCAACGAAAAGATTTAAAATTATTTTTGGTGAAACCCAATTCAAACCCCCTTTCTTGTATTTCTAACACATTCATTGGTAAGATATTTTCCCTTCTTATGTGACATCTGGGTTTGTTTACCTATCTAAAAGTCTCCACAAATTTTTCCTTCCTCAATCTTAAGTCTTGGAAGACCAATGATAACTTTTTTAGGGACAATATTCATCATGCTTATGAGATTTAAATGACCAAGTTTTTTGTACCACAAATTGGTTTTATCCTCTTTAGAGATAATGCATGTTGGAAGTTGATCCTTTGATTTTGAACTCCACATGTAGCAATTGTCTGATGACCTGATACCTTCATGATATATTCCATATGCTTCTTTGTGACAATACATTTAGAATGATTAAAGTTTACACATAATTCTTGATCAATCATTTGGTTGATTCTGATGATATTTATAGGGAGACCTTCAACTAGAAGTCCATAATCTAGACTTGAAAAACCTAGATAATCCAGTTTCCATTTTCCAACGATCTTGCCTTTAGCACCAACACCAAAAGTAACATAGATATTTGAGTAATGTTTTGCCTCTTTCAAGTAATTCTTCTCAGCAGTCAAGTGTCTAGAGAAACCATTGTCAAAATACAAATATTCATGAAAGGAAGCCCCAAGTAAGGTATGAGCAATGTGACTTATAGTTGCCTATTTGACTTTCCATATGTGTTGAAGAAAAACATTCGTAAAGTGTTTTTAACAATATGATTTCAATAATGGTAGTGAGGTTTTCCATATAGTTTGTAGCATAAAGGCCGTATATGTCCTTGTTGGCCATAATAGTGACAAACCCATTATGCTCTATGGTACACACTTTTGTCCTAGTAATGATGTCGGGCAGGATGTTGTGACATGTAGTTTGGCATTAGGAACTCAGTCTTTTTCTAAAGAGGAACAAACTTATTTTCTGCATTCATAGATTTGTAGTCAAACTCAATTCCTTCCATATATTTAGCAGTCTTGCTAACCCCTAGGATTTCATCAAGAGTATCATAACCAGAATTTAGCATGCGGTCATACCTTCAAGCTTGGATTTTAGGTTCTTGACTTCTTTCTTAAGGTATGCAATTGTTGCTTGATTCTCAAGGTATGAGTCTTACAATGGAGTATGACAACAACAAAAAACATAAAACAAAAGTAAAACAACAAATCATGTGTTGCTTGATTCTTAAGGTCTGAGTCTTTACAATGAACTCTTCTTTAAGTAGCAACAAGGTCCAGCTGCAAAGCCCATTAGGGTTCCCTCCTTTGAATGCGGTTGAACAATCCGACAAGCGCAAGAAATAATTCTTCATTAAGTTGATTTGCAAAAAATGATTTGTTAAATCTTCATTATATAAGATGTGATCTTTTTAAATCTTGGGGAATGATCATTTGGGAAAACTTTCTTATTAAAAAAATGCAAAAAACACTTAAACAAGATTAGACGAATATAGAAACAAATCATCAATCAAGCACAAGATTAACTCAATGCGCAACATCTTCTAGGCGAGACAAACTATCTCACAATCTGTGGAACATTATGCTCTACATGTTACTTCCTAGTTTGAGATCATAGAGACAGAATATCTCATACAATGTCATGACATCTTGCTCCATATATTATAAAATAACACCAATCAAATGTAACAACATAACTTGTCCTAATTTCAAATGGTTTAAATCTCTTTAGGAACAAAATTTTGAAACTTTTATTAATTTATTGTTTTAAAAAAAAATATATAAGTTTAAGTGAATTAAAAAAAAGAAAATTATAAAGGACTAATCATATAATATTTTAAAAAATAAAAATAAATGGTCAGTCAACATGTTACCTAATTGTTTTTGTTAAGGGTATGTTTGTTTCAAGGTTACAAAAGATATTTATGAAAATATAACTATGAGAATGTAATATTTTTATTTTTTATTTAAATTTTAAAAAATCATTATAAGAAATATTATTTACACATAACTTTTCTATTCTTATTCTAAAGACATAAAAGTTGGGAATATAACATTCTTATGACAATAAGTTCAACCAACAACCTGTTAAAAAAATTCAATCAATTATAAATTTTCAGTATCACATATTTACTATTATTTTTTATGTTTTTATAATTTAAAATTAAATAAATTTTATAATTATTCCTAAAAATCTAAATTTCTACCTAACATATAGATTGAAACAATATTCTTTAAAATAATAATTCTAGAAATGTGATTCCAAATTATATAATTTTAAACTATGAAAAGCATCCTAAATTATATGTATGAAGATATAAAACAAAAGAATGTGTCACCTACCTAGGTGTTTTTGTTCAATCATATCAAATATGATTTTTGTTTCCTTTTCAAAAAAAAAAACTCAATTTTGTTAGTCTTTTAATTTTCTTACTATTTTTTAAGTCATTTTTTTACCTAAAATATTCATTTTAATATATACTTTAACTTTCAAAATACGATTTTGAAATCATTAACTACTAGTTGACTAGAAAGAATAATTTCATTTAAGACAATAAGCTACTTTTGGAAAGATGTCATTGAAGATAGACCATATATGGTAATTTAAAAAAGGAAAAATAATATCCTTGAGATAGACACATATTAAATGAATTTGATACTCAACTTGTATATATAGAGAGAATAGTTTCAAGAAAATTCAACAAAACTATATCGTAAGAGGTTTATTTGTAATTGTTGAAATTAATCTATTTTTCAAAGATGTCTCGTGGAACACTTCATGTTAATTTGATAGCTGCCAAAGGCTTAAACAACAATGATTTTCTCAGTAAGTAATACATATGTATCAAACTTTAACTACTCTATTTCACTCAATTTCCTATTATTTTTTAAGCTATTTTAACAAATAAAATTAGTCAAATTTATTTTTCATTTGATTGATTTTTATTTTTTGATATAAAAAACAGCCAATGTAGATCCTTATGTCATTCTCACATATCGATCACAGGAGCACAAAAGCAGTGTGGCACAAGGTGATTTTTTCTATTTTTTTTTTTGTAACTTTATCTTTTTTATTAATCTGTTAATTAACGAAATATAAATTATATAATAGTCTTGTTAATTGTGTTTGGTAAATAACAGGTGCTGGATCTAACCCAAAGTGGAATGAGGTATTTCTTTTTACAGTTTCTGATGATGTTTGTGAAATTGATATGAAATTAATGGATGAAGATGGTTTTACTCAGGATGATTTTCTTGGCAGGGCAATGTGAGTTTATTTTTCATTTAAAGTAACTTTATTAATCATTATGCATGTATATTATTGTAAATATAAAGTAAAAAATAATACTTTAAAAGGTGATTTAATGGTATTAATTGAATGATATAAGATTCATTTGTTACAACTTTTTAAAAATAACTTTTATAATATTTTTTTTAAAATATTAAAAGAGAATTTTAAAAATAAATAAAAAATAAATCAAATGAAAATTTGTATAAATGATTTCTCAGAAAATATATTTATAGATGGTAAAATTATAAAAATACTTAAAATGATTAACTTTTTTTTTTAAATGTCATAAAAGTTATTTTTAAAAAATATTTTTTTATTTTTAAATATCTAATAGTAATAATATGTCCATGGATATTAAAATTATTCTTTTAATTTATAAAAAATAAGTTTAATATAATATCTATTATTTTTTAGTAATATCGCATAAAAAAATATTTTTAAAATATCTAATTAATTGGTTAAGAAGTCTAAATATTATAATTATAATGAAAATTAACAATAACACTCGTTTTATAATAATTTTACAAATATGATGATTATTAATAAGACATAATAAATAAAAATAATAATCCTTATTAATTTCTTTACTCCAACCAATGTAAAGTAGACAACATTGATGAACTAAATTCATTTCTCATATGCAGAATTCCTTTCCATTCAGTGTTTTATGAAGGCATCATCCCAACAGCTGTTTACAGTGTAGTTAATGACAATAAAGAATATTGTGGAGAGATTCATGTGGCTTTCACTTTTACTCCTGAGGTAAATTTATACTTGTGTGTTTCAAAATAATTGTTACTAACATATTTTATTTCATTTAACTATTCAATTACTTATAATTAATAGTACTAGTTTTTTATCAAATGATATTAATTGAAATTTGAAATTAACATAGTTATTATTTGTGTATGAGAAGGAATGATTGTGATGCAATCTAATTTATAGAAGACTTGACAACAAGTTAAGTGCATCCAATACAAAAGTAAGAAGATGAGACAAAATAGCAAGGCTCAAGGAAAATTAGGCATATTACAAAGCGTTTAGTTTAGATGAAGGATTGTCATATTTACAAAAATGCATCTTGTATTTTTTTTCTATTTAGCATTTGGTGCTTGTTTACTATCTGTTGTTAGTATAAACTTTCTACCTAAGAGCCTAAGGGATATTTGAAATGATAAAAAAAAACTTTTATTCTTACTCATTGAAAGCACCAAAGATATATTATTTTGGTATAAAATGTTATGTTTATGAGAGTGTATGGTTATGAGAACTGGTGTTAAATGTATACTTAGGCACTATGATTATGAGAACTAATGTTAAATGTATATTTACGTGAATTTGTTTTTAAAATATAATAAAAATAAAATAGAGATAAAATTGTTTAATTAAAAGATTAATTTTTTATAAAAAAAAAAGATACATGTTAATGTTTTAAACTTGACAAATGTCGAACCAGGAAAAAAATTAATTTAAAATTCATTTGTTTTAACTGATTAAATCTTCGATTGAACTGTTTGCTAAATAAATAAATAATATAAAATTAAATTTTATAGATAACTCATGTAATTATATGTTCACATATTTTTAAAAGAAATATTTTAAAAATTCATTACAAACTTAATATTATGATTATATGTTTACAAATTTTTAAAAGAAATATTTTAAAAATTTATTACAAATTTAATATTATGAGATCAATGATAGATATAATTATACAATATAACAGTATAAGGGAAATTGTTGTTTTAATTATTGATGTTGGCACAATAAATAATTTTCTATTTTTTGATAAATAAAATATTCAAATTGGTCAATGACAAGCATTTTTTTGAATCAGGCTATTTTACAAATCTAACTTTGATTCTCTAATTTGTATGGTTTTAAACCGTTCAACCAAATTTTTTTTAACTTTATTTTATTTTTGATCCACCTGCAATTTCGCAAGATTAATTAGATTCAATCACCTCTAATTCTAGATTCAACCGGTTGGACTCTAATTCTAGATTCAATCGGTTGGACTGAACTGTTCAATTCAACAACAAAAATACGTACCTACTCGCGAGTACTTGCTTTGTATGCACATCGCGTATTTGTAGACATATTCAACCTAAAATAAATCGTAGAATATATTTAATTTTATAAGTGTATTTGTAGACATATTTAACAAAATAAATAAATTATAGAATATAATTAATTATTTTATAAGTATCACCTATTTTTATTTATATTTGTATTATAAATATCAATATAATATTTTTTTTGTATTTAAATATTATTTTTAATCTTGTGTTATTTATAAAAATATTGAATTAATAATAAACTTGTTCCCAATTTATAAAAATAACATCGTTTATAAAAATAACAACAAATAAATAAATATTTAATAATAAATTAAAAAGTCGATTATAGTATTTTTTGACTGAGTCTGAATTGAATGGAAGTGTAACGTCTTCCCCATTTATGTCCATCAGGATTAGAGCACCTCCTGAGAAGTATTTCTTCAAGATGTATGATCCCTCGTACTTGAGAGTCCACTTGTCCCTTGGATTAGAGTGAATTGGCAGGATCTTTCTTACGACCAAGTTACATGTGTGGAATTCTTGAGGCCGTGTCTTCTTGTCATACGCTTTCTTGAGCCGTTTTTGATACAACTGACCATGACAAGTGGCTGTTAAGCGTTTCTTCTCAATGAGATTAAGCTGGTCAAGTCTGTTTTGAATCCATTTTGCCTCATCAAGCTTGGTATCCATCAAGATCCTTGACGAAGGAATTTCTACTTCGACGGGGATTACAACATTCATGCCATAGATAAGAGAGAAGGGAGTTTCCCCATTTGAAGTGCATATTGAAGTGTGATAGCCATGCATGGCAAAGGGTAGCATTTCATGTCAATCCTTATACATTCTCACCATTTTCTGGACGATTTTCTTTATGTTCTTATTAGCTGCCTCGACTGAGTCATTCATCTACGACCGGTAGGGTGATGAGTTATGGTGTTCAATTTTGAATTCTTCACATAATCAGTGATGATTTTGTTAGGATTCCCATGATGACATGTGATTTCTTTTTTGATGAAGTGAGTGAAGACTTGCTTCGTTACATTCTTGTAAGAAGATGCTTCAACCCATTTGGTGAAGTAGTCGATAGCAATGAGGATGAACTTGTGTCCATTTGAAGCGCTTGGCTCAATTCATCCAATCATATCAATGCCCCCACATTGCAAAGAGCCATGGTGAAGTCAAGACATTCAAAGGAGTGGGAGGGACGTGTATCCTGTCTGCATATACTTGGGACTTGTGGCACATCTTCGCGTACACACAATAGTCACTTTCTTGGCCATATCATGCCCACTAGAATGAGTCACAAAGGAGCCCTCATGGATTTCTCGTATAAGCAGAACTGAATCATGGTTTCTTTTGTACAAGATGTATCCTAACAAGAAGAATTTGAATGCTAACCTTCAAAGCGTCCACTTATCAAAAATTGTAGCACCTTTAGGATACTCTTGCTTCTCTAAGTACCTTTTGATGTCGAAGTACCAAGGCTTTTCATCATACATATCTTCAGCTGTGAGACAATGAGTAGGAAATACATGTGTTGACTCCTTGTAACGAAGGATTCTTATATCGGGCGCATGATTTAGATAGTTGACTTTGAACATTGCTGCCAGAGTAGCTAGAGCATCTTCCAATTGATTCTCTTCTTGGGGAATACGCTCGAAGGTGATCTCATCGAAATCAGGAAACAACTCTAATATACAATCCATATATCGAACTAAATTAGGGTGGTGTGTCTCCCAATCACCTCGTATATGGTGTATTACTAAAGCAGAATCCCCGTAGACTTCGAGAATTTTGATGTTCAAATCAATGGCTGCTTCAAGGCTCATTATACAAGCTTCATATTCGGAAATTTTGTTCATGCAATCAAAGCATATACTGGTTGTAAAAGGTATGAGAGTATTATGTGGGGAAGTCAAAACCTTCCCAATACCATGGCCTATAGAATTTTATTTACCACCGAACATGAGAGTCCACCGCTCCCCTGGTTCGAGTCCTTCATCGTCATGTTTCATAACATCCTCATCTGGGAAGTCGAATTTCATTAACTGATACTCTTCCAACAGTTGGTGAGCAAGATGATCGACAAGGATGCTACCTTTGATAGCCTTTTGTGTGACATACTGGATGTCTTACTTAGATAGAAGCATTTTCCACCGAGCTAGTATGCCAGTGAGTGTTGGTTTTTCAAAGATGTACTTTATCTGATCAATCTTAGATATTAAAGGTGTTGAGTGTGTCAACATATATTGCCTTAGACTGCCCATGCAAGAGTGCAACAAGTTATCTCAAGTAATGAATACCTTGATTCTCAATCAGTAAACTTTTTGCTCAGATAACAAATGGTGTTCTCTTTACGTCCTGTATCATCATGTTGTTCAAGCACACGTGTAATACGGTGGCAGAACCGACTATTTATACTGGTTTTGCGTTTGTGTTCGCAAATGTTGCAGTAACCAAGAGTCGCCACCAAATTTTCTTTTATCCAACAAAGGAAAGGGTGAAAAGAACAGAAAAATACCTTTTTGATAATTTTGTGAGTAAGGGGGTAGATTATGAAAAGGGAAGGTGTTAACACCCTTTCCATCCGTAGTTTTCTACGGGCTCTTAGATGCTTAGCTCATTTGAAAAATACATTATTATTTTTGTGTTTTTGAAAAGTACTTTGCAATTTCCTTAGTGCGGCGATTCGCTTTATGATAACTCTTGTATCAGTCCTCAAGAGTGTTGTTAAAGCGTTTTTTTGAAAGTGTTTTTTGAAATGTTTTGTGTAAGGGTGAAAGTTTGTTTTGAGCAAGCATCTAAGAACTATCTACTTATACTCAAAAGGTTTGTTCTTTTCCTCCTATCCTTTAAACACCGCTATCCTACTATTAGTGAGTAGGTAGCCCTATTGTTGGATGTTTGAGGGATATTCGAAGGGACGTACAGTCATAAAGGAAACTTATAGAGACGCTTTGGCAATTTTGTTTAAGAGACTAGATCATTTATCGAAAGGCAACACTGTAGGGTCATCGAGGGACTATGATCTTTTGATTTAAGGGTCTTTGGTAAAGCGTCCCCACTTTCGAGGGACATGACTGTTTTATTTTCTGAAAGGCAACCAAAGTGGGCGTTCCCTAGAGGTGTATATGTGCCAGGTATGTTATGTTCAGTTATTTTAGTCTTAGATATTAGGTTTGCTAACGTTTGATTATTAATCTTGTCATACAATCCTATTATCATGCATCTAAACAGTTTAAATAATGCAGAAATTTAAAGTACGGAAAGTTAAATCTACGCTATTACAATGCTTCGGGGAGGGGGTATTTACATGTCCAAAAATGGGGGAAAATAAAGAAAAGCGATAAAGTAACGTCCTAGTTAATTCTATTATATTCCATCAGGAGATACATTAGTATAAAAAAAGTGCGAAAATAAACAACGCGTGCGAAATGGAAAGAGTCGTCTAAAACCCTAAAAAAACTTCTAAGTAAAATAAGAAAATCTTTTTTTTTGTTTATTTTTTATTAAGAAAATAATTAAACCACCTTAAATCTAAATTCAGTTAAAAAGATAATTATTAAATGAATTTAAGCCTAATTCTAACGTTTTTTTGTATTTTTATTAAGAAAACATTGAATGAAATAAATCTAATTCTAATTGATTTTAAATTGATAAAATAAAGTTAAAATAATTAATTTAATTAATTTATAAAATTAAAATTAATTAGAAAAATCATAAGTCTATTTTTTGTGATTTTTGATTTTTTATGATTAAATAAAAACTGATTAAAAATAAAAATTAATTGAAACAAAACAAATAAAATGATAAAGAAAGTAATGGGCCTGCAAAAAAAAGTTAAGAGGTACAAAAGTCAGAA